AGGGGTGGGGGCGGGGCTGGAGTGGAAACCAGATTAGGAACGGGAGTCTTGGAGGGTGCTGGGGCCGGGAAGAGGGTTCCGGATTACAAACACACAACATTTTGTGCGAGGGCCGTGTGGGTTTCTGGAGCTTATTTGTAATGCATTGTTCAGGCTGCGGCTGAAGGTTTATTGCTGCAACAAGTTGTGTGCTTCCCTGAGTTCTAGGTGCTCCCTAATGTTAGTTTGCTGAAATCAAATCTTGTTAGTTACAGTGGAACACTACCTTTTTGTGTGTGTTAATCAGGATGTTAGTGTGTATGTGCATGCCTGTGGATCTGTGTGTGTAGCTCATAGAATACTGGCTTGAATGAATGGGTAGGAGGCAAATTTTATTGAATCAATTTTGACATAAAATAATTTTTTCCATTGTAACACAGTATAACAATTTTTCAGAAATGCTTGGGGGGAAACCACCAGGAAATTAGACATTGCTAAATAAATCAGATTATGTAACACTGAATTGAAAAACCCTTTTACAGTCTTTCCCAGAAAACACACCACCTTGGGTTTTGAGTTGAGGAGCCAGGGCTTTTTTGTGCTTGCTTTCACTCCCCCAGTGTGGGTCATCTGGAATAAGAAAGAGCACACTTACCATTTTAGTGAATAGGAATTTTTTTTTAAGGGGGAGGTAGAATTAAATGTAATATATTGGGCATTTGTTAAGGTACCCTTTCTTAGATTGGAATCAAGAAACCCTGGAGGATTGGCTGACCTGGGGAGGGAGCCATGGAGGGCTGAATGATGAGTGTTTTTGAATGGGGTATTCCAAGCAAAACTGTTTTGGAAGGAGGCTGACATTTGCAGGCATTCATGGTTTGTGCCTATGGGAGACTGGTGGAAGGATCCCAAAGTGGAACTGAAGGTTAGAATTACTGTGGTGATAATTTAGGAGACATTCAGTTACAGCAGCCTGGCTGCAGGCAGGGCTGGGAAATGACCCAGGGCTGCCTCTTTGACAAGCCCGAGGGTGCATGGTTAAACCATCCCAGTGGCCATTCATTTTAGGGTGCACCAAGTCTGAAAGCCTCTTAAACTTAGAAGGCAAATTAGAAGCTTGCAATGTATCCTTGCCTACTAAATGGTAATGGAAAAGAGCTGTACAAGCTACTGCTGGAGGGTTTGTCTTTTTCATGGGGGATGTGGTCAGATTTTCAGGCTAGGCTGAAAAGCAGTGAGACTTGTCCTCAGGAGCCATTATGACGTGAGGTTGAAGTATGGTGTTGCCCAACCAGCAAGCTGGCAAAACATTGTGCTGTGGCCAGCGAACAGAGGGAGACTTCTTGGTTATTGTTGTCTTGCCATTTTGGATTCTTTATTTATGTTGTGAATTGTTTTGTAAAATATAGCATAATTGGATTCCTCCCAAGGACTCATGGGAATATACATGAACAAAATGAAAAGGATAAGACTGTTACTGCTATTAGAGACATGGTTGGAGGAATCCTCTTAAATAATAGTTGGTCTGGCTGCAGGCTGTCCAGTGGATGCCTTGTTGCGTGATGAGGCTGGCTTCACATGATGAGGCTTCACAGGACGGAGTGAATCATCACTTTGTCAAGCCTGGAGTTCAGGACTGACTCTCCCTGGTTGCTGCACAGTTATGCAAAGCAACAGGAGCTTCTGATACCAGTGGGGAAGGAGTGGGCGCTGGGCGTGGTGTTTGGCTGAGAAAGGATCCTCAGGGTGTAGGATCCATGTGTTTAGCATTTGTCCTCGTCTGGGTGAGATAATCCTCTCTTTCTCTCCCCTTCTCCTGTTTTCAATAGCTGGACATTTGGATTTTGATTAAATGCCCTAACGATAATTGTTTACTGTGTACAAACGGTTTTATATACATTACTCTGAATCCTTACAACTTGATAGAGTGGGGTTTCTCTCTATTTTACAGTTGAAACTGAGGTCTGGGGAGTTTAGTAACGCACCTCATACACCCTACTTGCGTAGGTTACTAGAAAGTGGTGGAGACGAAATTTGAATTCCCATCTCTTGACTCCAAGGTCCATACTCTTTTAAGTATACTCTGTACAGCATGATATGTTTTAATAATGGAAATAACAACCATTTGATTATCTATTTGATTAACCCTTTGCAGATTTCAAGTCCCTTTCACCTATATTGTCATAATTGATTCTTTTAAAAACCTCTGAGATGGGTTTGGGAGGCCAGACTAGTGACATCCCAGCTCTTCAAACTGTATTGTTAAAAAAGCTTTGTGCTGTTTATGGCCTGTATGAATAAACTTTATGTGAACGAATTTTTATTTTTAAAAAGTTAGGCTGCCAACATTTAAAAATAAGTTCTTTATAGGAAGCATTTAAAAGTGGTGGAATATGGAATAGATCTTACATACTTTCAAGCATTTTGTATTTATTGAAATTCATTTAGCTCTTTTAATCTTACAGCCTTTATTAGAACACCACACTTTGCTTCTTTACTGAGACCTAATGCCAGTGTCTTTTTAGAAGAGGAACAAGGAGGGAAGGAATGTGATTATAAAGAGGAAATGGGATAGCAGAATTGGAAACATACACAGCAGCAGGCTGTAGATTTTCCCAGCACATGGCTTTTGTCCTGGCAGTCGCCTTTTACAGAAGACATTCTTTTTTAGGGACGTGTCAAGGGTCTTTCTTTATAATATCCTCTGAGATCATCAAATTTCTGAGCTCTGTGGGAACACACATTCCGCAGGATTTCTGTGCTCATCCTTTCCCCACAGGGGTAGTGAGTGAGCTTAGGCATCAGCGTGAAAAGGGGATGGAAGTAAGTAGTATCCGCCCTTGGGTGGAATAGAGGGTGGTGCTGGACAGGAGGCTCTGACCTTGACCTGAGGATGACCACCAAGTGCAGGGGCAGAATGGATTATAACCCACGGCATCATTAATTGTTCATGGATTTCTCGGACTGCTCCTGGGCAGAGGGAAAAGTCAATGTTGATTTTTGTTTCTAAGATAAGACTGAAGACTGGAAGCTCTGCCTTGACTTGTTTAATTATTTCAGGCGAGGACACCATTCGGGAGTCTTCAAGGATGTGGGGTAGGTGCAGTAACTTTTGTCCCCTCGTCTCATTCAAGTCCCCTCCATTGGATATTTAGAGAGGATGCAGACACGTGGTCTGCTGAGCTCTAACAGGGAGCACCTTCCCACTTCCCAGCTGAGAAGGATGAAGGATGCTCACCAGGATCGCGCTCGTATAACCTCTCACAGGTTTCTTTTCGGTTGTCAGAATCTTCATCCGTTCACATTTTATTAAGCACACAGTCGAAGCGCTAAAAAGCCATAAAGGAAATCTATTGTGCCTCAAAGGATGGTGCAGGGCAGACGGGTGTGCCCAGAGTGGATGTTGGTGAAATGAAGAAGGTGACAGCTGTGGTGACTAAGGCCACACCAACACATGCTGCTGAGACAAAAGCGGAAAACAAACAAAAGCGGGAGGGTGGGAGGAAACCAAACACAGTGCCCGCCCCTTCCTCATCCTCCATTGCATTATGTCCAACCTCTGATGGCGTAGACGGGGTCAGATCTCTGAATACTGCCTACTTTCAATGGCTGGCTTGGTTGGGATGTTAGGGAGCATCATGCTGATGTATTTGCTGCTCATGGAGAGACTGGAGCATTCTTTTTTAGACCCTGAAGATGTATAAAGTACCGTTCCTCGGGAGAAGGTGTTGAATAATGTGGTCGGCCCTGGCGTATGGCAGATCCTTGGTGCCCTCCCGCTTTCTTCCCTCCACCCCTGCCAGCAGTCCATCCTCAGCCTGTGTTCAGCATGGCTGTAGATTCAACCCCACTGAGGCTGTTCCTAGACTTCAGGCATATTTGCGTTGTGGACAAGAAATGGCAAGTCCCCAAAGAACGAGTCATTCCTATTTTATATGACATTCATGCTAGTGTCGATTAAGTATTGGGTGCTTGCGTTGTGTCAGGCCTCGTCCTGGGTAATTTCCATAGCTTGTTTCAGTAAATCTTCATCCCTATCCTTCCTTAGGAGATGTCTGAAGATGAGGGAGTTGAGAAATTTGCCCAGGGCTGGTAGAGCTCAAGCCCAAGAAGGTGTGCTTTCCAGAACAACACACGGCCTCGTGGTGCAGTGTTCTTGGAGGCTTTGAGCCACTTTTAAGGAGTTCGTTTTAAGGAGTTGGAAAGCCCACCCTGACAGCCTCCTTCCCTCCTGACTGGCTTCTTTTGTCACCTGGAGTCAGGGTTTCTGTGGGTCTCCTTGGCTAGTCCAGAGCTGGGAGAGTTGGTTGAAATGCTTCTCAGTTTATCCTCCTT